AAGAGAATAAGTTAAAATTGTTTCTGTCAGACCTACTCTCTCTTCAACTGAGCAATGGTGAGAGGAAAAAGATCATTCAGGTCTTCAGTAATGGTACCGGCATTCATACTCTGATTTCCATCTTCAAAGTGCATTTAAGCACCATCAAGAGAACAATGAATAAGTCTAAAGAAGAGGGAACAGTAGAAAGGAAAATTTGAATCAGCAGGTCATAGCAGAAAGAGAGGTCATCATTTCAACTAAAGAAAGTTAGAAGTTTAGAGAGGGCGAAGATCATCTTGAATAAGTTGGAAAATGATCCTGGAATAATATATATATTTTAAATTTATATCTATACTTCATGAGCTTCCGATCCTTAACTATGACTAATTAATGGTGAACATGTTATTTTAGTTTATAATCAATTTCATCACGATTCTTCTGTTAGGAAAGAAATTATAGATATTTATACATACTCAAAGTAGAGTCCAATAGTGTTATAAAAAATCTTGGAGACATCTTGTCAGATATCTTTAATCATTTCAAAGATACATTGGTTCAAATCTTAATCTAACAATTGGAAAATTTTTGCTGTTACACCTGGTATATATATATATATATATATATATATATATATATATATATATATAAATTTAAATAAAAATCAAGAACAGTAAGATATGTGTTCTTATTGATATTTTTATTTTTTTTTTTTATATATATATATATATATATATATATATATATATAAATTTAAATAAAAAGAAAGAACAGTAAGATATGTGTTCTTATTGATATTTTTTTTTTTTATTTTATATATATATATATATATATATATATATATATAAGTTTTATCAAATTCAACCAATAATGTCTGTCTGTTTAATTTTAATTTTTATATTTTTTACAATTTTAAATTATGATATTGTACATTTAAATTACGGTTAAACAATCCAAAGTCCATTTTTTGTTCTGTTTTGTACATTTAAAAGTCTCAGTCATTTCCAAGAACTGGGTATTATCAGTTTGGTAGACAAGATTTTATTAACTACACTTTATCATTTGCAGAGCACTGGAATTGAAATCAGTCCTAAATGAGAATGACTGAATCATTCCTAGATTGTAAGCCATTGGATGTTGTTATTAAATTCCACTATTCTTTTGTTGGAAGTGTAATTTTCTTTCACACTAATGAGGAACACATGAAACTATTCTCCCACGCCAGCTATTTATTAAATAGTAGGGTAGACTTGGCTCCTGAGACTTAAATGGTAACCAATCTAAGAAAAGGATCTATTCAGGATTTAACAAGAATCCACACTGCTATCTTTCCCAGAAGTCATGGTATTTGACAAATAAGAAAAAGATCTCCAGAGAGCTATGATTGCAAATGTTTTTATCACAACTCCCATCCATACAAAGTAGAAGTAGAGAATATAGCTATATGGCTAAATTTGAATGACTCCTGCTGGTTAGCCTTCTTAGATGAAGCATTGTCAATTATTATTCATTTTTCACTAGTATTTCTTTCATCTTCATTTCTCTTGCTTTTTATTGCAATTCTCATCCATAAGAAGTAGAAGTAGAGAATATAGCTATATGGCTAAATTTGAATGACTCCTGCTGATTAGCCTTCTTAGATGAAGCATTGTCAATTATTATTCATTTTTCATTAGTATTTCTTTCATCTTCATTTCTCTTGCTTTTTATTGCAACTGCCATCTATAAGAAGTAGAAGTAAAGAATATAGCTATATGGCTAAATTTGAATGACTCCTGCTGGTTAGCCTTCTTAGATGAAGCATTGTCAATTATTATTCATTTTTCACTAGTATTTCTTTCATCTTCATTTCTCTTGCTTTTTATTGCAATTCTCATCCATAAGAAGTAGAAGTAGAGAATATAGCTATATGGCTATATTTGAATGACACTTGCTGGTTAGCCTTCTTAGATGAAGTTTTGTCAATTATTATTAATTTTTGGCTGGTATTCCTGATCGACTGCCTTCTTTTTTCTGTGGCTGTTAAATAGGCTCTGTGTATATGAAATAAAAATCAAAGAATTTTGTTGTATGATTTTTTCCAATAAAATTTATAAATTTGAGACAATTTGCAGAATATCCATATGTCAAAACACATATTTATAAGTTTGCATATATTCATGTGTTTGTATGTACACATATGAAGATATAGGCATTCATATATATATATATATATATATATATATATATATATGTTATACTTTATGTATCTGTATATAAATAATGGTTTGGCTTTCTACCCTGTTTTTGTCACTGCCTCTTTCTCTCTCTCTCTCTCTCTCTTATATATATATATATATATATATATATATATATATGTATACACATAAATGCAATAGAAAGTTGGCCCCCTGGTGTTGATTTGATATTTGGAATCTAATTTGGTTCGTCACACTCATGTAATCAAACTTTGGTCCTCATAATGGCACTGGAGCCAACAATAAAATGATCTCAAAAATACATTCAAGTTACATTTTTGGCTGTAGCCAAAAGGACCCTATTCAATGACACCCATGTGCCTACCTCATACACTCCCTAACTCCATTTTGTTCCATAAATGAACTTATATATGTCTGGTTGTATTAAATATATACTTTGCTATATAACAATATGTATGTTTTTGCTCTTTTTAAATATATATTGGTTTATCATTCTTATATAAAAATATGTATGTATATATTGATTTGTTTTACTTATGTACAGATTCTTGTATGTATAAAGATATGTATACATATTTATTTCATTTACTAATCTCAAGATACACACATGTAATGTGTGTGTGTGTGTGTGTAAAATTTTAGATACAATTAAAATCTGTAAAAAGACAATATGAATAAAGAGAAAAGAAAAACTTCCATGTATATTTACATATACATATATAATATAAAAGGCTCAAACACTAATATTCCATGGTTATAATTTATTATATTGGAATCGTAATCACGATCCAATTAATCAGCCCTACAAATTCAAATTTGATGAATTGGATTGAGATTACGATTCCAATGTAATAAATTATAACCATGGAATATTAGTGTTTGAGCCTTTTATATTATATTCTTGCTCTGTCTTGTACATTGATCTCACATGGATTTTATCCTCTTGTAAATATATATATATATATATATATATATATATATATATTGACCACTAATATTATCTATCTTTCTATCTATTTATATATATATATATATATATATATATATATATATATATATATATTTTGATTTTCATTCTTCATTTAATGATAATGTTATTAAACTTATCAGACGATATGAAAAGAATTTACATAAAATAAATAGACAACATGTGTCTATATTATTTAATGAAACATTTATCAATATATATATTATCTATCTATCTATCTATCTATCTATCTATCTATCTATATATATATATATATATATATATATATATGAATAGAGACAAAGCGAAAACATATATAATATATATATATATAAACGATAAAAGGAAAACTTATTTTAGTTGTTGTGTTTCTTCCTCTGGTGGACTTTATCAAAGGAAATGTAAGGATTTATTTTGCAAAATGTATTTATAGACAAAAGTAAAAATGTTCTAATTTTTTCAAAATTTTAAAATTCAATAACACTCATAAATATCTATCACACTAAGAAGTCTATGTAAATTATTGAGGATGCTAAGTGGCATAATTTAATGTCTAATAAACAAAAGTGAGCAAATGATTTTTGTTGTTAAATATTTTTTCAACATCATTTACTTTCTTTTGATTAGTAGACATTAAATTAAATCACTTAGTATCCTAACAGCATTTTTACTTCTGTTTACAAATACTTGATGCAAAGAGAATAAATGTTTTGGTGAATTTTTTTATAATGTACATATTTATGGTATATAGAAATGAAGTAAAGACCAAAATTCCTGTCTATAGTATCATTTATTGTTGACTCCATTTGGTTACAGTGTTTGAAATGGTTGACTATGATCATTGTTCTTTTTGTGATTTGAGAGCTCATACAGGGTTGTTGTGTTCCTTCTGGCTGATGGAAATTAATTTGTTGCATTCATACTTTCTTCTCCTTTCTCTTCTGGAGTTGTATCTCAGGTCAAACTCATAGCCAATGAATTAAAAACCCTTTTGTCTCAAACTGCTACCTTGAATCAAGTTCCTCTCTACTGTGGTGTCTCTAGACTCATATGTGGTTTTCTTCTTTTTATTGGGGCTGACACATCTGCATTTCCCATTTGATTTTTGGCATGACATGTTGTCATTGATTGATTATTTTATGACCTTCACTGACCCACATAAACTAAGTCAAGGTTCATGTCCATTACGAGGCTAGGAACAATAGAAGGAAAGAAAGGAAAAGAAAAGAAATATAAAGAGGAGAGGGAGAGAGAGTTTTCTTTGTCACTCACTTAGTAAAGAGGATAGTGTATATTTTGTTATGTGTTATTACTACCTAATCCTACTACATATTATTTTTATTATTTTAGTTATGAGATAAATTTATATATTATATATTTTAAATAAGTTATGATTTTAACTATTTTCTTTTAAGTTTTTAAAATGTTTATAGTCATGTATGTTGCCTTTGGAGAGTAGTAAATATTTCAGGAATGGAGATATTTGAAAAAATGCGGGTTGCAGATTTATATTGTGACAAGATTTGAGAGAGGCACACTCAAGAATTTTCTGTCTAAGGGAGCTACTTTCTCTTTTATGCGGCATTCTTTAGTTGGAAGTTATGGTTGAATTTATTTCTATGTATGACAAATGCATTTGACAAATTGTTGGGTATACAATGTTTTTTGTGTTTAGAGATTTGTTTTTTAAATTTAAAACAATTAAAAAAAGGACGAGCAACAATGAATGAACAAAAGAAAGAAGGAGAGAGAAAAAAAGAAACAAATTAAAAAAAGAAAGAAGTACATAGGATGAAAGTAAATAAGAAAGAATGAAGAAAAAAATGAATATGCAAAATAAATGAATAAATAACGAATTAAAGAAAGAAAAGGATGAACGAAAGAATGAGGAAGGAATTAAAGAAAGAAAGAAGTAAAGAAAAAAGGAGAAAGAAAGAAGTAAAGAAAAAAGGAGAAAGAAAGAAAGAAGGAAAGAAAAAAGGAGAAAGAAAGAAGGAAAAAAAAAGGAGAAAGAAAGAAGGAAAAAAAAGGAGAAAGAAAAGAAAGAAAAAAAGGAGAAAGAAAGAAAGAAGGAAAGAAAAAGGAGAAAGAAAGAAGGAAAGAAAAAAGGAGAAAGAAAAAGGGAAGAAAAAAGGAGAAAGAAAGAAGGAAAGAAAGAAAAAGAAAAAAAAAAAAAAAAAAGAAAAAAAGTAAAGAAAAAGGAGAAAGAAAGAAGGAAAGAAAAAAGGAGAAAGAAAGAAAGAAGGAAAGAAAAAAGGAGAAAGAAAGAAGGAAAGAAAAAAGGAGAAAGAAAGAAGGAAAGAAAAAAGGAGAAAGAAAGAAGGAAAGAAAGAAAGAAGAAAAGAAAAAAGAAGGAAAGAAAGAAGTAAAGAAAAAAGAAAGAAAGAAGAAAAGAAAAGAAAGAAAGAAAGAAGGAAAGAAAAAAAAAGAAAGAAAGAAGGAAAAAAAAAAGGAGAAAGAAAGAAGGAAAGAAAAAAGGAGAAAGAAAGAAGGAAAGAAAAAAGGAGAAAGAAAGAAGGAAAGAAAGAAGTAAAGAAAAAAGGAGAAAGAAAGAAAGAAGGAAAGAAAAAAGGAGAAAGAAAGAAGTAAAGAAAAAAGGCGAAAGAAAGAAGGAAAGAAAAAAGGAGAAAGAAAGAAGGAAAGAAAGAAGTAAAGAAAAAAGGAGAAAGAAAGAAGGAAAGAAAAAAGGAGAAAGAAAGAAGTAAAGAAAAAAGGAGAAAGAAAGAAGGAAAGATAAAAGGAGAAAGAAAGCAGGAAAGAAAAAAGGAGAATGAAAGAAGTAAAGAAAAAGGAGAAAGAAAGAAGTAAAGAAAAAAGGAGAAAGAAAGAAGGAAAGAAAAAGAGAAAAAAAAGAAAGAAAGAAAGAAGGAAAGAAAAAGGAGAAAGAAAGAAGTAAAGAAAAAGGAGAAAGAAAAAAAAGAAAAAAGGATAAAGAAAGAAGGAAAGAAAAAGGAGAAAGAAAGCAGGAAAGAAAAAGGATAATGAAAGAAGGAAAGAAAAGGAGAAAGAAAAGGAAAAAAAAAAAGAATGAAAAAAAAAGGAGAAAGAAAGAAGGAAAGAAAGAAGAAAAGAAAAAGGAGAAAGAAAGAAGTAAAGAAAAAAGGATAAAAATATAAGGAAAGAAAGAAGTAAAGAAAAAAGGCGAAAGAAAGAAGGAAAGAAAAAAGGAGAAAGAAAGAAGGAAAGAAAGAAGTAAAGAAAAAAGGAGAAAGAAAGAAGGAAAGAGAAAAGGAGAAAGAAAGAAGTAAAGAAAAAAGGAGAAAGAAAGAAGGAAAGAAAAAAGGAGAAAGAAAGAAGTAAAGAAAAAAGGAGAAAGAAAGAAGGAAAGAAAGAAGTAAAGAAAAAAGGAGAAAGAAAGAAGGAAAGAAAAAAGGAGAAAGAAAGAAGGAAAGAAAAAAGGAGAAAAAAATAAGTAAAGAAAAAAGGAGAAAGAAAGAAGTAAAGAAAAAAGGAGAAAGAAAGAAGTAAAGAAAAAAGTTGAAAGAAAGAAGGAAAGAAAAAAGGAGAAAGAAAGAAGTAAAGAAAAAAGGAGAAAGAAAGAAGGAAAGAAAAAAGGAGAAAGAAAGAAGGAAAGAAAAAAGGAGAAAGAAAGAAGGAAAGAAAGAAGTAAAGAAAAAAGGCGAAAGAAAGAAGGAAAGAAAAAAGGAGAAAGAAAGAAGGAAAGAAAGAAGTAAAGAAAAAAGGAGAAAGAAAGACGGAAATAAAAAAGGAGAAAGAAAGAAGTAAATAAAAAAGAAAAAGCAAGAAGGAAAGAAAGAAGTAAAGAAAAAAGGCGAAAAAAGAAGGAAAGAAAAAGGAGAAAGAAAAAGGAAAGAAAGAAGTAAAGAAAAGGAGAAAGAAGGAAAGAAAAAGGAAAGAAAGAAAGCAAAAAAGAAAGAAAGAAGTAAAGAAAAAAAGGAGAAAGAAAGAAGGAAAGAAAAAAAGGAGAAAGAAAGAAGTAAAAAAAAAGGAGAAAGAAAGAAGGAAAGAAAGAAGTAAAAAAAAAAAGGAGAAAAAAGTAAAGAAAAAGGAGAAAGAAAGAAATAAAGATAAAAAGGAGAAAGAAAGAAGGGAAAGAAAAAGGAAAGAAAAAGGAGAAAGAAAGAAGGAAAGAAAAAAAGGAGAAAGAAAGAAGTAAAAAAAAGTTGAAAGAAAGAAGGAAAGAAAAAAAGGAGAAAGAAAAAGTAAAGAAAAAAGGAGAAAGAAAGAAGGAAAAGAAAAAGGAGAAAGAAAGAGTAAAGAAAATGAGAAAGAAAGAAGGAAAAAAAAAAGGAGAAAGAAAGAAGGAAAGAAAAAAGGAGAAAGCAAGAAGGAAAGAAAGAAGTAAAAGAAAAAATGGCGAAAGAAAAAGAAGGAAAGAAAAAGAAAAAGAAAGAAGGAAAGAAAGAAGTAAAAGAAAAAAGGAGAAAGAAAGAAGGAAAGAAAAAAAAGGAGAAAGGAAGAAGTAAAGAAAAAAGGAGAAAGAAAGACGGAAATAAAAAAGGAGAAAGAAAGAAGTAAATAAAAAAGGAGAAAGCAAGAAGGAAAGAAAGAAGTAAAGAAAAAAGGCGAAAGAAAGAAGGAAAGAAAAAAGGAGAAAGAAAGAAGGAAAGAAAGAAGTAAAGAAAAAGGAGAAAGAAAGAAGGAAAGAAAAAGGAGAAAGAAAGAAGTGAAAAGAAAAAAAGGAGAAAGAAAGAAGGAAAGAAAAAAGGAGAAAGAAAGAAGTAAAGAAAAAAGGAGAAAGCAAGAAGGAAAGAAAGAAGTAAAGAAAAAAGGCGAAAGAAAGAAGGAAAGAAAGAAGTAAAGAAAAAAGGTGAAAGAAAGAAGTAAAGAAAAAAGAAGGAAAGAAAGAAGTAAAGAAAAAAAGAGAAAGAAAGAACCAGAAAAGAAAGGAATGAATAAAAGAAAGAAAGAAAGGATGAATAAACAATTTTCTCTAATATATTGTATGGAACAATTGTATCATTTATTTTATTCATCCTTGCTACAGAATTACTTTTGTTATGGACATGTTTACTACTGATCATATCCATAATAGCTTTGAATGTGATTGTAATTATTTTGGTATTGTTAAGATTGAATAAATTGTTTTGAACAGTAGGTAATGGAGGTAGTATTACATATCTGTTTTTAGCTCGTTTATTGTCATTGTTATTGTTGCTGTTGTAAATAATGTCATTATCTTTTTTGTAGTTGTATATTTTGTATGCTTTTCTCTTAGCATTGTGGAGGAAATATTGAGGATATTGGAGGTTATTGAAAAAAAAGTTTTCTTCTTTCATTTCAACCAAATATTAAAGATTTTAATAATAATGCAAACACACACTGATTTGTCTTCCATTCTGACCTGAATATAACTAATTAACTACCTGACGAAAGTGAAATGTATTATCAAGGTTTTCCACTTTACCTGATTTCTCCACTTTTTTGCTTTGGATTCCCTATCATAGTAACATTCATATATATATTCATATATATATATATATATATATATATATATATATATATATATATGCAATTTTTATATATATTATTTATATATTATATATGCAAGGTACTTATTGGAAAGTGCTCAATATCAGTGATAGAGCTAACATATTTAGTATTTAGTTGTGTTGATGTGAGTTTGTGGTCCTGGGTTTGACACCCTTTGCAATTTGTCTGGTGACTACAAAGAGCACTAAACCAAGAGTCACAAACTCATATCAATGCAATATATATATACACATATATATATATATATATATATAGAGAGAGAGAGAGAGAGCGAGAGAAAGAGAGAAAGATATAGATATAGATATGATTATTTATGTGCTTGTTTGCTAACTGAGCACTATAGAGAAGGGAAATACTCAGCAGTCGCTGTACCTACTATTAATGCATCGCTCTTCAGTTATGAATTGAGCACTCTTGTCTACTAATTTGGTGTTTGTATACATCACATATATAATATGTTAGAAGATTCCCTTTCTCTGCTGTGCACTGATAGCTTAGGGGTAGATTCTCTGAATGATGCCAAATCAATCGAGTTTCAGTTCCAGCTTGAAGCAATTGGATGTCTTGCCACACTGATGAGCTGTGATACAGCAGAAACCAGAGGATGACTATATATATATATATATATATATATATATATATATATATATATATATATATATATTCATATATATATTCATCCACCTCCTGTCGTATTCAACATATGAGGGTCAAGCAGTTCAGTTCCTAGGAACTGACACAAGGTCCCCAAATGACTTTCCACAGGTTTTGAATTCAGATTTGTCCTTCTCCTAGACCAGTTGCTATCAAGACTATAGAACCCAGTCTGTCCTGAGAAAGATATGAATCCTCTTCTTCTCCCTCCAGCTATGGGTATATATATATATATATATATATATATATATATATATATATATATATATATATAAATAATTATTTATTTGAAAATTATACCATAAATTTGTTATAAAATTGCTAGAAAAATAGCCATTTTGTTTCAACACTTCTGTGTCTTATCAAATAATGGTGCTGAAACAAAATGGCTATTTTTCTAGTGATTTTATAATATATTTATGTTATAACTTTTGAATAAATAATTATATTTTCTCTCTTCTGTATAGAGCAGTCTTTTAAGAATAGTATTTCTTGGTTATTGGAATTTATTCCATATACACCAATCCTATACTTAAATATATATATATATATATATATATATATATATATATATATATGTGTGTGTGTGTGTGTGTGTGTGTGTGTGTTTTAAGACAAATATTATTAAAGACAACAGATATTTTGTGTTGATTAATTTTATTGATCAACTTTTCCAATTTACAAATAACCCTTCTTATATAAGGAGGAAATTCCATCAGAAATTGTCCAAAGTTAATTTTGGAAGAAATATGGCTGAAGCTTTCAATATTTTTAAGTCATCATCAGGGTAGATAGAGACAAATGGTGAGTTTAGTGTAGTCATGTTGACAGTGTTGTCATGTAGGCAATGTGTGATATATGTATGTGTGTTTATTTTATTTACTTTATTATTTTTTTTATATATACATTAGAGAATGCAGGCACTTAAATTGTTTTTATTTATAGATGGTGGTTTCTCTTGTACGAATATTGCTTTGAGGATCATAAGTATGTTTTTTATTATTTAATTTTGCTAGTATTTTGGCATTGCTTAGGAGTAGTTGTCTAATTTTACTATGATCCTTATGCTGCTTATTAATGTGTTGTTTGATGGCACACTGGTACAGTAGGTGGCAGGTGAGTCTCCATGAAAATGTGGTTGTGATATATCCTATGTAAGACGTTTGGGTCAGTGTATTCATAAACAGTATTACTCTTATATAGGGGAGGTTGGAAGCTTGTTATTTTTAATAACGAGGTTGCTAGTTTTGAATTTTTTATAGTAAATCTGATGTATTTGATTTTATTAACTGATTTTATGTATGATGTTTTTTATTGTTTCATCTTTTTGTAATTGTGGTGCATTTAGTGTTATTGTCAATATTATATTTATGACTGTGGTTAGTGTTAAAATTTTTTTTGTTTAAATGTAATTAGGGCACCCATTATTGATCAGTGTTTATTCTATATTATTTATTATTATGTTTATTATTATAAAATTTTTATTATGTATGAGAAAATGAGTTTAGATCTTTTGATTAGTTTTATATTTTCCAGTGCTGGTTCCCAAACTGCATGAATTTAAACATGCTGCTACATTGGCATCTCAGTTCCTCCCTTTCACTGTCAAAATGGTTAAATATATCTGTTTTTTCTACTCCAACAGCTTCTTATCTCACGCTTCCCATCTGTGGAACTCCCTTCCTCTTAATTGCTTCCCTGATAGCTATAATCATCAAATATTCAAATGTAATGACAATCAAAATCTTCCATTGCCTTGATCTTGTTCCCCATCCTTCTCTTTATCGTTTCCTCAAACACACCTCTTTACTCCTCTTGCTCTTACTCTCTGTAACCCATTGCATGTCAGTGGTACTCCCAACTTGCTTGGGGTGAAATGCTTAAAAAAAAAAAAAAAATTTACTGTGGTAGTTTAGATGGCTAGAGTTAGAACTAGTAAACATTTGTAGGTAGATGTGGTAAAATTATTGCTGTCAGTAAGAATGGAATTATTTTGTCAGTATTTAGTTCATAAAGTTTTTTCAAAGTTCTATGATGTCATTATTAGATTTGATTTGGATGAAATATATATATATATATATATATTAAGTAATTCATCGAGTTTAGAAGAAACCTCAACAGAATGCAGAAAACACTGGATGGCCGTTTCGTCCTATATTTGGGACTCATCAGCAGTGCGCATACACTACCGAGAATTGAAACCCAGACAGTTACATTGAAGGGTAAACATCATACCAATTGTACTAACGAGCCTCGGTAATGAAGAAGTAGTGAACTAGACTCAATATTGCGCTGCTTGTTCACATATTCTGTGGTGGAACTCATCCAAGTTTCCTTTACCTATAGGAGCGTGCCTCCGAGAGCCACGACTACCATCACCAAGCCACTCCATCCAGAGCATTAGAAGCCGGTGCAAAGATATACAAATGATAGAAATTAAGGAGGATTTGAGATAATTAAGACTCAATGAATTACTTAATTATCTCAAATCCTCTTAATTTCTATCATATATATATATATATATATATATATATATAAATATAGCTTACGGTCAAATCACGCTGAAACACCGGTTCTCATACGATCACCGAAGTTAAGCAGCATAGAGCCAGGTCAGTACTTAGATGGGGGGACCGCTTGGGAACACCTGGTACTGTAAGCCCCCAAATTCAACCCTTACCTCACAGTCGGTGGGGGGTGTAAACAGTAGTGTCAGAGCTATGCCGCCCGGAACTTCGTTCCTGGTAGGACCACCAAAGGCGGACAGGTCTGACACACACGCCAACTAACAAGGGCTCTGGTGAAAATCCAAGGGCGTCTGCGCCGGTAACGGCGGCTTCTGGTTGTTCCTGTCTCTGCGTCTGTGGTAATCCCGCGGCAAGCAAGAACGTTATCCAAGTAGGCCTGGGTACCCCTACTTCTGTAATTTATCCCAAGAATCTTCTTCTCATAACAGGAAGAAGCCGGCTCAATCCACCCAGGGTGAATGCCGCATCAGTACAGTATATATAAATAAACATAGGTAACTATACTCGTCTCGAAAAACCTTCGAATTTTTGATTTGCCAATAATCAAATCAATCTTGAAGGAAAAAAAGGTTTTAAAAAAAGAAAGAGCTAGAAACATGAAAGTCTGTCAAAAAAATCGCACAGATACAGGTTTGAAGCCCAAAGAAAAAACCCCGATACGAGTAAACAACTAACTAAAAAGAGCTCAATACAACCGTAGAGGAGGCCTAGTCAAACCTAGTGAGCCAGACAAACCTACCCAGGTTTTATGGCTCACTAGGTTTAACTATATATATATATATATATATATATATATTTTAAAACTTTTTTGCATTTATACTTTCTTTTTATAGTTACAAATATTTAAGTAAATGCTCTGTCTGTAATAAACAGTATTAATAACATTTACCCGGCCTGAATGTCCGAGAAATTTTCATAGAAAATATTCGTTCTCTGACAGGACCTATATCCTATACGGAATCATCATATAGCCTGACATGCTTTAACCAATTGAGCCACAGAGGATCGTTTGATTAGCAAGGTCGATTTTACTGATTTTAAACTATAATATTCCATGATTTTCTCACTTACATTCATATCTGCTCAAAGCATATCCAAATGTAAACAAATAACGTGACACATTATGAAATGGACAAAGTCCGACAATTATTTTAAGTCATTTTTATGTTTATACATTCTTTATATATATATGTAGCATGAATGATTACTTTATTAATTTTATTGAATATTTTGTTTTCTAAGTTGGTCATGTAAAAGCCTGAAAATAAAGGACCAAGCATGTTGCCCATAGTGACGCCATTAGTCTGGGTATAAATATTACTAAGGTGGTCATAGGAAGGGCATTGTGTTGGGGCCACTAATAAAAGTTCTTTTTAATATTGTGGGGTTAATTTTCAGAGGTGGCAGAGAAGAATGATGATAAATGTTTAATGTCAGTTGTTTCATGGGCAGGAACATTAGAGAACAAATTTTCAACTGTCCGTTTCATACTTGAATCCAATCTTCAGGTTATGTATGTCATGTTTTGGCTTGTGTTTATATATGTTGGTAAAGATGCAAATATGAAAACAAACTTTTATGTTTCTTAAAAATCGAAAGCTAAAAATTAATACCTTGTAAAATACCACCATGAAAAATGCAAATATATGCACTACGTACAGTGCAGATCTGTCCTGGGTATGATGTTAAACTACGTCAGTGGCCTGGGTATGACAATAAACTACATTCGTGTCCTGAGTATGATGATAAACTACATCCAGCAGCAAGGCCTCTGAACAGGAGGTTTTGAGAAGCGTGGAACCACCTTTTAATTGCTGATGTTCCCAGGTCCACCCTGATCTGGGGTGATAGTACCTATTAGGGTCCCAGCTATGGGTAAATAGTTAACCCTGAAACTGGGGTCACAACACTATGAAAGTGTCAAAATAGGTTTTAATAGCAGAAATACTTTGTAAAAATTTATTACCAGCAATAAGTTTTTGAAAAAAGAATTATTATCAGCAATACATTTTTGGAAAAAAAAAAAAATATTACCAAATATAGTTTTTGGATTGAAATAAAATATTACACGTGATGCATTTTTGAAGAAAAAATATTACAAGGAAATAGATTTTTGAAGGAAAAAAATTTTTACCAGCAATACATTTGAAAAAAAAAATATTACCAGCAATAAAAATTTTGTCAGCATTAAGTAACTCATTGAGGTTGATAAAATAAACAAACAAATAGTACAGAAAATGTAACTTATAAAGCTAATACTTTAATCTAAACAAATATTTTACATTAAAATAATTAAATTAATATACATAATAAATAAATTAACGAACTATGAATCCACACATATATACAAGTAAATATATTAATAATAATCAACAACAGATAATATAAAATAACCAATACTAAATAATGAGTAAAAAGTTAACAAACAGCACTATGAAATAGCTACAAATAACTGCATTTGGATCCACAAATATTTCCAGTCTTATAGTATAATTTGAAATATAACTATTACTGCCTACCCAATAACAGGTTACTAAAATAAACTTTACTACCCATAATGCATCATCGACCAATAAATAGATGAGTCAAAACACAACATATGTCCTAAAGACTGCGTTCAAACATGACTCTCCACAACTTCCCAGTCTTTGTAACTCTTAGTAGCATTTGTTTTCTTCCTATTGCCATGATGCGATTGATTGTGGATTGGTTTCTTGTTGCTATTCCTACAATGTTTTTATTGAGATCCCTGACTTTAGTTAGTTGGCCATTGACTCATCAATATTTTTTCTACTCTTTAATAAGTCTTTTTCTTTCATCCCACAGGATTGTTAACCACCTTTCTCATACCCTGAAAAGTGCAATAGCGGAGAGCCAGTTTAGCCACTGACCATCCAACAAAGTTTTAAATATTTTCTTTTCTTCCTTTGGAAGGAAATATCTCTTACCTATTTTACCAATGAATATACATTTTGTAAAATCTGGACTTACAAAATCTCTACTACAATGAGCATTACAAAAGTGACAACAAGTATTCGTTGACATTGCAAAAGTGGCAACGAGTGTTCATTGACATCACAAAACATGATATAATAACAATGTAGTTCACAGATGGCACAGAATGGCTGAAAGAAAAAAAGAATCACAGACACACTTTTTTCTTAGAGAGACTTTTATAATATTAAGACATACACAAATCTATATATACATATATACATGTGTCTCATGTGGCAAATAATATATCATATGTATCTACACAAGAAATCTGAGTGTAAGGAGATACAAAAAGGAAGGATCCTGAGAAGCCATTTTTAGGCCCCCTGATTCAAAAAGGAAGGATTCATCTATGTCCCAGGCAAGAACATATTCTACAAATGGGAGACAGTGAGTATTGGGTTTTCCTAAATTGAGGACTGCGAGCTGGAGTTTCATTCTATACATGAGAAACAGAAATGGCACCATGGACTTGTAAGCTGCTGGGGAGGCAGATTTAGCATCTGCCAGGGATACTGACCTGCAGAAAGCAACCTGACTGTTTCGTTGCTGTAAACGAGCTGAATTTGACTGCCATTTTATTCACTGTATGAAGTGATGTGACATCTCCACCTTCTGTATTCCTGCAGAACTTAAGCATTTTTAACACCAGGAAGAGATAGTTTAAATTTCTCGGGCGCAACATCAACTCTCACACACTAGTCGTGTGCTATACTCAGCCCATTAAATTTTTAGGCTGAGAGCTAATGCCAATGAATACGAAAAAGTGGAAAATAGAGAAGAGTGAAATGGGGGAAGATATAAAAGAGAGGAAATAAGGGAAGCATAATGAAAAGAAAGGGTGAAGAAAGAGAGAGAGTGGTGTTGAAAGCAAAGAAGAGAACAGAAAGTAATGAGAAGAGAGAGATAGAAACATTCAATGACAGAGTTAATTAATGAAAGAGAAAAAAATCATGAAAACTAAATCGGAAGAAACAAAGAAAGACAAGGAAACTTTCTTTTTTAAGAAGAGAATGAAGAGAGAAAACTGTCATCAAGGGAGACTACTCAGTTGTCACTTCCTGTTTGTTAACTGGCACAATTTATATGGAAAAGAAGCATTCTGGTGCTTATTTGGATTACTGCAATTCCACACAATTTCCTCTGTGATTTGAAACAAGTCAGTATAAAATATGATTTTAAAGTTCAAAGAAATACAATTCCCCTGTGCTTTAGAGACAAATGAATAAAACCAAATATACTTGCCCTTGTGGTTAAATAGATATTGATATGACATAATATTTTATAATTACATAATTGAACTGATCTTAGGTTTACCAGTGCATAAACTATACTGGAAAGTTATGGACATATCCCCTTAATTTTATATTTGAAATGTAAACAAACGAATTGCTAAGGATTATCTTGCAACTAACATAAGACAGAAAGTGCTACACTGAAATTCAAAGGTGCATTGAGATATTGAAAGAAGCCATCCTAAAGCTAAGCAAAGTATTAAGAAACAAAAATTTTGTTCATGTTGTATTGTGTTATTCTATAACACATGATCAGTAGTCAACTTTGTATAAATTCGTAAATTTTGATGACAACCAAATTCTACAATTGCTTGGGGTATGTCATAACAGAAATTTCCATTATAACTTCACAACCTGTGAAAACTAGAAAGAAATCAGTTATTTCATCTTCACCCACTCTTGCCTGGTTGTCGTTCAATTTTTTAGCCCTAGCCTGGTCTGCAAAACACTGGATCCAAGTCTCAACAAATTCTGGTTCATCCAAGTGACTTAAAGACCCTATGGGTGATGCCATAGTTGCCTTTTTTGTTATTTTTAAGATACACTCAGACTTGTTACAATTATATCAATGCACTTACTGTTATAATTCTGATCAGGATGCTGAGGTTTCTGATTAAATTTGGCAATTGTTAAATCATAATATATAATATATATAGTGATAGCAAAGTATTAAGAAGCAGAAAAATTTAATTCAAAACAACAAAAGAGAGTACTGAACTCTTATGTAATATCAGTCCTCCTATGTGGCAGTGAATGCTGGACAATCTCCTCACAGATGAAGAAGAGACAAGCAACTGAAATGTGGTTCTACAGAAGGATGCTATGAATACCATGGAATAAATATGTGAGTGACAATAAAGTTTTAAAGAAAATGAAAATAAAAAGTACACTTATAGTTGTGATCAGGAAGACATATTGAAATTTCTAGAGCATATAATGAGGAAAGAGGGTCTGGAAAATTTGATACTCATATGACAGATTAAATGCAATATAGATTGAGGAAAACAAAGCATAACCTACCTAGTGAGTTTCAGTAAGTTGATGGCAGGAACAAGGGTGTGGAGAGATAACAAAAAGAAATAATTTAAGAGCTATAAAGGACAGAAACTTGTGGAGAGCCATGATCACCTGTGTCATGAAGGGATATAGCACTTAGAAGAAGATGATGTTTTCATGACTGACATCATCTCAGTCTTGGTTTGTATAATCCCTTAGATAATAAAAAGACAAAATTTATTAAGAGCTACAAAATAGAAGAAATTGTGGAGAGCCATGATCGTCAACAAGACATAGTACATAGAAGGGAAGGGAGATGCTGAGCAGATCTTAGTTACCATTTCTGAGAAAGTGCACATCACTTGGTGTGATCAATTGTTGATCACATTGTATGATGCAGTAGTGACATGATTTGTCTCTTTTCTTGTTGATATCTTAAGTCTCCAACGCATTGTATATTACACAGTCTACAAGCACCCTCAGGCAATAACTACCTTAATCTCCCTTGTTCTATTGATGAAATGTAAGATCCACTTGGACAGCTTCTTCCCACAAAATAGCTTTTTTCTACTTTGTGGCTGTCAAACCGTGAAATGAAGGTCATCCTAAATGGGTTCTCCTCCAGTTCCTTTCACACGAACGCTGGTGTTTCCCAAGGCTATATCCTGGGTCCTACACTGTCTCTGATCTTCATCAATGATCTTCCTGATGTCATTAACTCCCAAGTTGAGGTCTACACTGATGACACTACTATTTACTCCTGATTCAATAGTAAATCCAGCATTTTTGGCAAAACTAACTTGGCCGTACACCTTGGGAAGGACCACCAATTTGTGGTTTATTGGGGTAGGAAATGCCTTGTAAACTTTGATGCCTCTTAAATGAAACTGCTCTCATTTAACCACCATACGGAGCCCTCCCTATCTCCCATGATTGGGCTGATGCCCAAATCCATGAGAGCACCTCTCTCTGCCTGCTTTGTCTCACATTGTCCGCTGACCTGAACTACATTGAATTTAAAGCATCATCTACCGCAAAGAAATTTAGTTATCTGTTGTGCGAGAAGCTTTTTCTCACCTGAGTCCATCCTTCATATCTACAAATCAGTGATTCATCTTTACATTGAATACTGCTGCCATATATAGTCTGGAGCCCCCACTGTTTATCCTGAGGTCCTCGACAAAGTCCAGGGATGGATATGCAATGTCATAGGTCCTGATCTGGCAACCCATCTACAGTCACTCTCTCACAGACATGCTGTGGCTTCCCTCTGTCTTTTCTACGAGTACTTTCATGGCAACTGCTCCAATGAGCTACTTTCACTGGTTCCCAAACTGCATGTAAACATGCTACTAGGTTGGCATCTCGGCCCCACCCTTTCACTGTTAAAATGGCTAAATGCAGCCATCTCTTCTACAGCTTCTTATCTTGCACCTTTTGTCAGTGGAACTCCCTTCCTATCACTTGCTTCCCTGATAGCTATAATCTGCAAATATTCAAATGTAATGTCAATCAGCATCTTCTTATGTTTTGACCTTGATCCCTGCTTTCTTGTTATCCTTTTCCTAAACACTCCTCTTTATTCTTACTCTCACTCTCTGTAACCCCTTGCATACTAGTGGCACTCCTGCCTTTCATGGGCTGATTTGCTTACAAAAAAACAAAAAAAAATGTCTTCCCTGATCACTAAAATCTTAGTCTGTCCAAGTCAAGTTTAAATGGTATCTTGCCTATATATCTCCATAAATTCTGCTTGTTACAGCTTCCTCTGTAATCCTCCACCTCGAGTGGCTCATGGGCCTTGTACAGAAAGAAAAAGAAACTCTTCTCAAATGTAAGTCTCTGAACATCTTCAGTTGTATGTAAAGATAAATGGTAATGGTGATATCAGGAGACATTCACTATTGTTACATATGCTATATATCTTGTTTTGAGTTACATATGCTATATATCTTGTTTTGAGTTACATATACTGTCTTGTTTTGAGTTACATATGCTATATATCTTGTTTTGAGTTACATATGCTATATGTCTTGTTTTGAGTTACATATGCTATATATCTTGTTTTGAGTTACATATACTATATGTCTTGTTTTGAGTTACATATGCTATATATCTTGTTTTTAGTTAAATATGCTATATATCTTGTTTTGAGTTACATATGCTATATATCTTGTTTTGAGTTACATATGCTATATATCATGTTTTTTGGCTATATGTAAATAATTTTCTTAGCAATGATAATAGCATTGGTAATATTAGCCATTTCCTTATAAGGAAACATTTGGCATTCATTGACTGAGTAGCCAGTGCTAATGTTGGTTGAAATTTATAAACTATTTTCCTTAAAACAATTTTTCAGGAAAATAGGTTTTCAAGTCTGGTATCTGTTATCTTTCAATTAATTGATTAAAATGTGGGTTATTTAAAGCCAGAATATATTTTTAAACTGTAAGAATTTGGGGGGAGCGAGATAATGATTTATAATGATAGAAATCCTACTAATTAACCCATAGCTGAGGGAGAAGGGGTGGATTCATACCTTTCCCAATTGTATTTGTACATAAGTGAATATAATAAACCAGACTGGAACTGGAACTCAGCTCTCCAATTTCTAATTCTGAGCTATTATTCATTACACCACCCACACATCCAAGATTACAGCACCTGGTATTCCCAGGCTTGATGTTGCTTAAATTTAATTAAAACTAAATACAGAATGATCAAAAACAATTTACTACACAATCAGCTCCATGTATAACTTTCATTTGAAATATACATAAAATTTATGCATATAAAATTTATACCATATAAATTATACATAAAATTTATACATATAAAATTCATACAGTATAAATTATATATAAAATTTATACATATGTATAACCTTCATTTGAAATATACATAAAATTTATGCATATAAAATATACATAAAATTTATGCACTTTTTATGTATATGAAATATACATAGAATTTATGCATATAAAATTTATACAATAGAAATTATACATAAAATTTATACATATAAAATTCATACAGTATAAATTATATATAAAATTTATTTAAATTATACATAAAATTGATACATGTAAATTTATACAATATAAATTATACATAAAATTTATATATAAAATTTATATATACATAGTTTATATAATATAAATTATACATAAATTTTATACGCAAAATTATAGGCTAATTCCTAATATTTTTCTAATAATTATGATATTTACTGACAAAAATAAAAATAATGTTTCTAATCCATCTAGAATGCATAAATCAAGTCAAAAATGGCACTTACATGCGTAGAAATTTGATAGGACACAAGAAAACATATTTTGACATCTACTATAGTAAAACAGATATTCCCAAGTGATCACCCATCTTGATATTGACAAGGCTCAAAGTTGCTTAACATTAGTGATCTTATGAGAACCGGTATTTCAACATATGGCCATAAACCTAAGTCAAAGGTGAGTAATCAAAAATAAATAGAGAATGATTAAAAACATGTTACTGTACATATATAACAAATTCTTTTGAAAATGGACAAAATTTGGCATAGTGGTGTTATCAAGTACCTGCGAAAAAAGGGTTTAGACCCCAAGGGGATTCATACTGACATGGTTGCTACATTAAGGGATGATGCTCCAGCTTTATCAATAGTGCAAAAGTGGACAGCTGAAAATAGTAGGGGAAAGGAGAGTCTTAAAGATGATCCAAGGTCTCAATGTCCTGCAACC